ATGTCTCTTTTAAAAAAGGCCACTCTATTTATCGGCCTAACATTAGCCTATATTCTGTGCTATTACACGAAAATTATTTAGGCGGAAAATTTTGGTTCACGTACACTTCATTCTTGATTATGAAGCTCATTTAGCACCGACGTTTGTCATTCTTTTCACGTTTTTAACATGTTTGGGTTGACATTTACGGAGACAAAGTAAAAGAACACGTGCGAAACATCCCAAAGTTTCTTGTTCCAATATTTAACGAGTACTCGACCCCATCAATACTCGGGGATTATAAGGCTTTTATTTTACGGTAGCCTATGTACACATTCTAATGGTTGGGGAAGAAGAGTAAAATGATGGATGCTCACAAGATTGAAATAATATCTAACATCATAACGAAACTGTTGTATCATCGTGTTATAGCAACTAAGAGCGTGTTTATCAATTTTTTATTTTTTTGTTAACTGATGTTAGTTTTTAAAAACTTAGTATAGTTACTTATTAGTGGGATTATAAAATACAATGATTAAAATTGATTTGATGTAAAAATAGAAGACAGGTGATTGAAAATGATAAATAGTTAAAATTATGTGAGTGGTTGAATAGTAAATTAAAATTGATATTATGTGTATAGAACTGTTAAAATATGCTTAAGCCCGCGGGCAGGCTCGGCCCGAGAGCCAAAGGGGTGGGTTGGCCTGTCAACTATTAAAAAACAATAAGAGACCAAATATTGGTATATTTCTCTTTAACTTCTCTCCTCATTTTCCAGACTTTCCTAACTTCAAAATTTGGGCCGAATGACTTAAACATCTCGGCCCACTGCCAACTATAATACAGAAGATTCTAGGAGTTGCGACCCCACACCAAATACAGAAGCCTAAGGGCATCTGTTAGACAGCGAAAAAGTAGATACGTGTATCGTCTATATATTATTTGGGCATTACTATTTACCGTCTCTTTTGGACATTTTTGCCCCTGACATTTTTTTCTAAAAAGTTAAAAAAAAAAATTATTATTGCGGACGGCCGAAATGGCGTCCGGCCCCGACGACCGGTCGTGACCGGTCCGACCGGCCGGACATCATGTTTTTTTTTTTTTTAAATAATATTATTATAAATTATTATGTTATATATTCAAAATATTTTTTGAATACAACTAATTTTTTAACCATTTAAATAGTGATTAATTAATTTTTTTAATACAACTAATTATTAATATATATATATATATATATATATATTTTAATATATCTTTCATTTAACTTTTTTAAGTGAAATTAATTATTATTAATAAGTGAAATTTTTAACCATTTAAATAGTGATTAATTAATTTAATAATATTTAGTAATTATTATTATTATGATAATTAAAAATATTTTTTATCCAATAAATTAATTAATATACTTTTTATTTGTTAATATAATATTTTCTTTGTTTTAAATTATATTAATTTTTTTTCAAATAAATTAATTAATATAAATTTTTTATTAATATACTAATTTTCATTTTAAATTAAAATAATTATAATTTTAAATTATAATTTATAATTTTTCATTATAATTAAATTATAAGTATTATTATAAATTATAATTTATAATTTTTCATTATAATTTTTTTATTTTAATAGATGTAATTTTAATGAGTTGATAAACCTAAATAAAGATGTGATTGTGATTAGTTGTGTCGCATGATCCCGGAAAAGTAGCAGCGGAAGCAAATATAATGGAGGAGGAAAAAAATAGAAATAAAATATAATTAATTTTATAATCTAAATTTGGTTATTAGATTTTAAAATTCAAACATTTAAAGGAAAAAATCACAAGCAGATTTTTTGGGTAAATTTTATTTTATCTTGATTCTCATATAATCACATTTCTAACAAACTAATTAATATTATATTTTTTATCTACATTATCTAACTAAATTTTTTATGATATAACTAATATAATATCTAAACAAATTAATCATTTATCTACTGGAATTATCTCTCTAACAAACTTGCCACTTTTTTTGAAATTAAAATGATATGACTAATTTTTTTATGATATAACTAATAAATATTATTGATTTATCTCTTTAATAAATGTTTATTATTTATTTTTTTTCTTACGTGATATAATCTAAATTTGGTTATTAGATTTTTAAATTCTAACATTTAAAGGAAAAGACCACAAGTAGATTTTTTGGGCACACTTTATTTTATTTTAACTTCCATATAATCACATTCCTAACAAACTAATTAATACAATTACAATTATTTAACTAGAACTTTGAAAATATAATTATTATAATATTTTAACTAATTAAACTTTTGTCTAACCGAATTTATCTAATTAATAAACTTGTCAAAATTTTTAAAATTAAAATAGTAAAATTATTCTTACGGGTATACTTACCAGAATATTAAACACTTTAAAAATTTTTTGAAAACAATTTTAATTATTCCGTCTTCTACTCTATTTGAATTCAAAATTAAAATTTTAAACATATTCATAAACAAGCTAATTAGTATAATATTTTTTTACCAACATTTATATAATCGTATTTCTTAAAATATAGTTAATTTAATATTTTAACTATTTAATCATTTGTATAACTTGATTTAACACATTAATCATTTTTTTACTCACGAACGTATGTTCCCACGCTTCGGGACAAGCTCGTTCTCCTGAGTCGACCCGTCAGACTCTCAGAAAAACGAGTCTGTCTTGAAGCGTAGGTGTAACACCCCGCCTTTTATAACTTTTACTTACGAAAAACTGAGTAGAATTTTCGCGTTTGTATTCGAAAGATGCCGATACTGTTTTCGAAAAATACTTATACTTAACTAACTCACAGGATGTTACTTACTTAATAACATCCAACATAAACATAAACATAATACAGTACGGAAGCGCAAATAAAATACAGTACAGTCTGAAAATTATATTATTACATGCCAACATAAACATAATTGAATGTCCAGCTGTCTTCGGACACCACCACACCTGCGCTCGGCTCACGTTTGTTTAGTGGACTTACTCAACTTATTATTATTATAATTTATAAGTATTATTATAATTATTACAATTATAATTATATTAGCAATTATTATTATAATTATTATAATTAATTCTAATTAATTCTAATTTATAATTATTATTATAATTAGTATAATTAATTTTTAATTATTATGAGAAATTATTATTTTAATTATTATAATTATAATTTTAATTTATAATTATTATTATAATTAATAATAATAATTATTGACCTAAATGAAATGACGACTCATTCATAGATCTGTCATCTTAGAGGGTGCCGCAGGCAGCTCGCTTTAAAGTATGATAGAGGATAGATGTAATTTAGAAGTTCAGTCATAGAAGTCGTCAATTGCACGCTCCGTGGTCAACTCAANGGACGCGGCTTCGGATTAAAAAAATAAATCACGTAAAAAAAATAAAAATTACCTTGTTAGAGAAGAATGTTTTGCCGCAGCCGTAGGATTTTTTCGACATTTGTTCGGATTTTTTTCGGTGCTCAAATAGCTCGTTGAAAGTCCTGGAATTTAGAGAGATAAAGAGTTTAGAGAGAGAGAGAAAAAAAAAGGGTTAAGGGCAAAAGAGTAAAAAAAGGGGGTGGTGAGTAGTAAAGGGGGGTTGGTGAATAGTAAATGAGTATTATTTCCTCCAATGCGTTATTTTGTAGACCATGTTAAGCTGACATGGTGATAACATCGTTAAGGCTACTGTCTGCCCATAGAAAGTCTGTTCAACAGGACAACTCATCAACGAAACGACTAAAAATTGAGAAAAAACCACTAATATTATTTATTTTATTTTTTATAGATGAAATCATTATGTGTTGCAATTAAAATTTTAATTTTTAATATTTGTTTTAGTAATTACACTTTCAACATTTTAAAAAACTAAACTACTTTATTGTTCATTTTATTTCGTGGAGATAAAAGCAATTTTTTTTAA